ACTTGCCCCAGAGGGATTACCCACTGTACAGAAGAAGAAACTCAGGGTCAGACAGGTTGACCACCATGTCCAACTACCGGCTCTGCGCTTTTCCCCCTCCTTTCCCCCCCCCCACTCCTTTTTGAAAAGCGTGAAATATTTTGAATGTACAGAAAGGTATAGAGAGGAATATAATGCACCCCCAGATCCGGTAATTATTTCACTATATTTTCTTCAGTTCTGTTTTCTCAAAGAAATAGAGGATATCAGGAGCAGTGGATGCCCACCCTTCTGCCCCCTCCCACCTCCACCCTGAAGCTGTGGTGGCCCCTTCCCATCTGTTTCCATGGCCTTTGTTCCTACCTACATGTCCCTAAACGATAAATGGGAGTGTCCTGTGTGCACGTTCCTTTTTACAGTCTGTATTGGGGTCTAATTTACCTACAGTAGAGGTCACCAGCCTTGGGTGTACAGCTGGGTCCTGAGTGTACTGCAGTGGGGTCACCACAAATTAGCACACAGGACTTTTCCATCCCAGGATGGCTCCCCACACACCGCCCCCCATAGCCTCTCCCCCACCATCCTGACTGCTGTCACCCTCAGTTAGCTTTGGCTGTAAGGGGCCTGAACCAGACAGCCTGAGGCTGCTCCATCTGGGTGCTTCTGGCTAGTTACTCCTGACTTTGCACGTTTCATCCCATACCCTTCTTATCTATCCCTGCTCCTGAGGGCCGGTATTTTGGTGGTTTCACAAAGTGTTTTTACATTTTACAAACTCGACCTGACTGCCTTGCACTTTTCTCCCCGGGGCTTCGCTTAGATTGATCTGGGCAGTGACCTCGGCCTCCCTCGCAGGCATCTTCTGGAGGTCACCCTGCGGGGCCCAGGCGCCCGCCCGCCCCGGCGCCAGACTGTCCAGCAGCTCCGGGGTTAAAGCGCCGCAGACCGACTTGGCTGGGGGCGGGGCGGTGGCGTCCGCGGCGGGTCCCCAGCCCGGGACCCCCCAAGCCAAGCCTCCCAGCCTCCCCGAGGGCGCCCCCAGCCCAGGACCCCCCAGGCCAAGCCTCCCAGCCTCCCCGAGGGCGTCCCACCCCAGGGCCCAGCCGCTGCCGGCCCATTTGAGAAGCGCGTACGTTCCGAAAGGCACAGCCGCACCTCGGACCCCTCCCGGGCCCCTCGGCACACGGGAAGTTCAGGGAGGAAGCTGAGCGCGGCGCGCGCCGGGCGGCCCGCGGGCCGGATGACTAAGTTTGGCCGCGCGCCCCGCCGCCGGTTGCCTTTTATGGCGGACTCGCCGGCAGCGGACGTGGCCTCTCGGGCCCCCCCCCGCACCCCCCCCCCCGACCGAGGGGCTGAGGGCACGACTGCGAGGGGCCGGGCGGCGGCGGGGGGTTGCGGGCGCTTTCCCGAGGGCCGCCCATCCTCTCCCCCCACTTCCCCCACCCCACCCCTACCCCCAGCTGGCCAGGCCCAGCCTCCCAGATTTACCGAGAGGGAAACTGAGGTGCGGGGAGGGGCGGAGCCCTGCCAAGGTCACATCGCACCACGGCGGGGTGGCACCCGATGACACCCAAAGGCCCTGCTTCCCAGCCCAGGGCCGGGACAAAGATGACACACTCCCAAGGGCGCGCAGCTGCATTTATTGAGCACCCACTGTTTGTCTCCCGGCCTCCAGTTTTCTCGGCTTCACAGCAGTCCTTTGAGAGCGGGTTTGGGTCCGCGAACCACAGCTCGACGCGGGCTCTCCCCGGAGGGGAGAAGCAGCTCCCCCTTGGTCCTCCCCCTCACCTGCCCCTGGCTGGCTGTTGTACTTTACGTTTGCGGGGAGATGAAAATCATCTCCCCATTTAACAGATGGTAGACTGAAGCTGTGAGCCCCAGGTCAGGGAGCTAAGTGGCAATGCGAGGGGCCTAACGTAAGTATGTCTGGGAGCAGGTACCCCAATCCTAGGGGCGTCAGAACTCACATACGCCCCACACGGAATAGAATTCCTGTGCGTCTGTGCGGAGCTGAGTCGCACCGCGACCCCCGGGGCGCGTGTATGGTTTCCTGCTGGTCTTCAGTCCCCGCCCCCGGCCCTGCCACGCTGTGGGCCTCCGTTTGTTCAAACGCAAAATGCGGGGAGTACAGGGGGTCCGGTTTGGAGTGGGGAGCGCGCTCGGGGTGATGGTCTGGGAGGAGAGAGGCAGGGATTTAGAACACCCGGGCGCTGGGCTGTGCCCCCCTCCCAACCCGGGGCGCTCAGGCCCGCGACAGCTCCCTGGGGGGAGGGGCACGGGGGGCGGCCCAGGCAAACCTCGGCGGCGGCCGGGCCTGTGAGGCCAGCGCCCCCTCCCCGGGCGCTCCCAAACCTCGCCTTTTATGGAGAGGAAGTTGGGCCAAGTGGGCCGGGCCGGCCCGAGGGTAGGGGTGGGGACCTGGAGCTCCGGCCCGGCCCGCGCTGGACACGCACTGGGAGCACCAGGCTTATCTCCGAGCGGCCCTGGGACGCGGGAGGCCCCGAGCCACGGCCACGTGAGCCGCGCGGGCCTGGGAACGCCAGATAATAAACACCCCACCCCGGCCCCCAGCGGCCGAGCCCAGGGGAGGCGGAGCCTCCACCTCTGCCGGCCAAGCCTGGCCCTGGCCTTGGGCTCCTACGACCTGCCTGGGGATGGGTCTGAGCACGCTCACCTTGGGACCCCAGACAGTTACCTACCTGAAGTGTCCAGATGGGCTCCCACCCTCTGATTTGACTTAGACACACCCCCTCCCCGCTCCCCTGACCTGGGAGAGTCAGGGGCTCTGTCCTGCAGCTCAGTGTCTCTCGGTCCAGACTCCCAACAAAGTTCTCCTCCACCTTCAACAGCCACCAGCTCCAGCCCTGGCCACTGTACGGGAGGAGGGCCGGGATGGGCTGTGGGATTCTGGGAACCCAGTATTCCACCACATCCGTGTGGTCCAGAGTCCAGCTGGGACCCTGCAAGGCTGGTTTGAGGCCACTGGGCTCCATTTTGCAGGTGGGCACACTGAGGCCCAGAGACAGCAGGGTGTGATTCAGGGTGCTGCAAAGGTTCTCTTCTGTCGTGGGGCCTCGTGAACCCCGACCAGAGGGTCTGGACACGGGGAATGCTGTCTCAGCTATGCCCGAAGAGATTCTCCTGAGTCCCCCCCAGAAATCGCCAGGCCTTGGAGGGAGTTCACAGGCCCGAGGAGCTGAGCGGCAGAAGATGGGAATGCCGCAGGGCCTGAAGACCCTGGTCCAGCCCTGCTGCAAATTCTCCGTGACACCCGCACAGTCCCCTCCCTCCTCCGGGGTCAGCAAGACCTGGCCAGGAGTCCTGGCGCTGCCCTTCCTAAGGGTGGGGGCCCCTAAGGTCTCTAGGCCCATAGTGGATACTGCCCCTGCCCCCAGGCCTGGGGTGACATTTCAGTGGAGGATAGGGACAGGTGGGCGGAGGTGTGCATGTATATTTTCAGATTCCTGAGCTGGAAGGCTGGCACCACACCCTGTACACCCTCCGGGAAAAGTGACTGTCATGATTAAGTCTAGATATGCCTACAAGTGCCCCTGGATGACAGGGAGAGGCCAGATTCCAGCCCCTGCACTTTGTCCTTTGCTCTCCGCTCATAAGGACCCTGGGAGTGGGCTAGGGCAGAACCAGGAAACTTAGCTTATCAGCTGATACATGAACACCTTTCTCCTCCTCCCTACACCCCCCCACCCCCTCCCCCAAAACCAACCGTGAGCAGGTACCACAGAGAGGCCACTGGCCCCCGGTTCTTCCCTGGAAACAAGAGCAGTTGTAACCACAGCCCAGCAACTCCGTGTTTTTTTTGGCTGCGCTTACATGGCATGCAGGATCTTCCCAGACCAGTGATCGAACCCGTGCCCCCTGCCTTGGGAGAGCGGAGTCTTAACCACTAGACCACCAAGGAAGTCCAGCTCCGTGGTTGTTTTCGTTTTTTGTTTATTTAAATTAATTAATTAATTAATTTTTGGCTGCATTGGGTCTTCGTTGCTGCGCGTGGGCTTTCTCTAGCTGTGGCGAGCAGGGGCTGCTCTTCGTTGCGGTGTACGGACTTCTCATTGCGGTGGCTTCTCTTGCTGCGGAGCACGGGCTCTAGGCGCACAGGCTTCAGTAGCTGTGGCACGTGGGCTCAGTAGTTGTGGCTCGCGGGCTCCAGAGCGCAGGCTCAGTAGTTGTGGCGCACGGGCCTAGTTGCTCCACAGCATGTGGGATCTTCCCGGACCGGGGCTGGAACCCATGTCGCCTGCATCAGCAGGCGGATACTTTTTTATTTTTTAATAATTTTTTAAAAAAATTTATTTTCTTTATTTATTTTTGACTGGGTTGGGTCTTCGTTGCTGCACGGTCTTTCTCTAGTTGCAGCGAGCAGGGGCTACTCTTCGTTGTGGTGCGCGGGCTTCTCATTTCGGTGGCTTCTCTTGTTGCGGAGCACAGGCTCTAGTCGCGCGGGCTCAGTAGTTGTGGCTCGTGGGCTCTAGAGTGCGGGCTCAGTAGTTGTGGCGCACAAGCTTAGTTGCTCTGCAGCATGTGGGATCTTCCCAGACCAGGGCTCAAACCCGTGTCCCCTGCATTGGCAGGCGGATTCTTAACCACTGAGCCACCAGGGCAGCCCCAGCTGCATGTTTTTTGACCCCTCGACTTACACTCTGGTTTCGTCCTTCCAGCAGCCCCACACAGTTTTTACCCCCTTTTTTAAAAAGTTAATTAATTTATTTTTTGGCTGTGTTGGGTCTTCTTTGCTGCGCGCGGGCTTTGTCTAGTTGCGGCGAGCAGGGGCTACTCTTTGTTGCGGTGCGCGGGCTTCTCACTCAGTGGCTTCTCTTGTTACAGAGCACAGACTTTAGGAGCGTGGGCTTCAGTAGTTGTGGCATAAGGGCTCAGTAGATGTGGCTCACAGGCTCTAGAGCACAGGCTCTGGAGTTGTGGTGCATTGGCTTAGCTGCTCCACAGCATGTGGGATCTTCCCAGACCAGGGCTCCAACCCATGTCCCCTGCATTGGCAGGCGGATTCTTAACCACTGTGACACCAGGGAAGTCCTCACCCCCATTTTACAGGTGAGAAAACTGAGGCCCTTTGCAAGTAAAGTGACTTGCCCAGAGTCACAGAGATGGCAGATATGCCCCCTCTTGCCATCTTTCCCTGGCTGTGTGTGACCTTGGGCATGTCCCCTCACTCCTCTGGGCTCCACCTGGGTTTGGGGAAACATCAAGGCCCCTGCCTCATGGGGCAGTTAATGGGGAGTGAGCAGGACAGGGCCTGCCTCCTAGAGGCTCATGAAGGGCATCTGGGCATGTAGCGACAGTCGGTCCCAGCTGGGGGCTCACCACCTCACCTCATGCAGGTAAGCGTGGCCCTGCATGAACGTGAGTGAGCTGCATGCTCCCCATACCCCAGGCAGGTCCCCAACCTCGACTGTCAGCTTTGCTACCCACAACTTAAAACATCATGATGAAAGCTGCCCTTCCTGCCTCTTGGGGTTGCCATGGGATAAAATCAAATTATAGAACATCAGAAAAATGAAAGAGTATCACAGACACATAGGTTATTATTCTCGTTACTATTATTATAATTATTTGTATAGCGCTAGTATTTCTAATACAAACTTCTACTTGGCCAGAGACAGACAGAAATCTGAAATCTGAGGCTACAGAGTTGGTTTTGGAGCCTCCTGGGCCCTTTCATAATGTAGAGCCATCTGCTGAAACATCAGACATGGCCCTCCCCTCTCCCGCTCCCCCACCCTCTATAGCTCCCCATTACCATTGCGGACAAAGTCCCAGCTCCTGAGTTCATGCCAGTCCTCTGAGAACACACCCACCCCAGGCATCCTGGGCGCCAGCAAATCTCCAGACCTGGGAAGCACTTTCCCACCTCCTGGCTGAGTTCCAAGGCTACATTCTTGCTGTGTGGCCCTGCATCTTGCTTTCCTTCTCTGGGCCAAGGTTGAGGCTGACTAGGAGAGGAAGGGGCACCTGACAGCTTTGGGGGAGGGCAGCACAGAGGCCCTGCAGCTGTCACCTGTTGCAGAGTTCTAGTTCCTTGTTTCCAGCCAGTTCTTTGGTGAGTGTCATGGTACCCCCAGCGCTGGACCCCGGAGGCTGGCCCGGTAAACTTGCGTCTGCAGGGTGTCCAACTTCCAGGAGGGCCTGTTTCTTGCCCTTATGGGCTCCAGAACCCAAGCTTAACCCAGCTATTCGAGCCTAGCTCTGACCCTGCCTACCTCAGTCTCCCCACCTGTACAATGGGACCTGAATTCAAGGCCCAGTACATTCCTTCCAAGGGGTAAGGACTCACAGCCCCCACTGAGCTGTGCTAAGAGGGCTCCACGAACTCCATGCCCACCCCAGTCCTGCTCACCCAGCTGGGGTCTTTCTCAGATGGGGCCTCCATGTACTCTACCGAGTGTTGGCCAGAACAAAAATGGTGTTGAGCCCAGATCTCCCCATTAAGGTTTCTATAGACTCAATTTCCAAAGTTCCCAGCCACATCAGATATTTGCAGTTCTCCCAAAATACCTTCTGTCAAGCACCCTCTAAATTGTCTCCTTTGTGAACTCCTATTCATACTTCAAAGCCCAGCCAAAAAGACCCCTCCTGTGGAAAGCCTTGCTTGATCCTTGGGCTGCGTTGCTCTTCCTCTAGTTCAGCTCCTCACACGTTCAGGATATCAAACAGTTGTTTTCCCTGGAGACTTCCGGAGAACAAGGCTCAAGTCTGACCTGTGAGTGATATCAGACACTGGGTGAGTCAGCTGCAGCCCAGAGACCTGAGGACTTCTTGTGACACCCAGCCTCCCATACACCCCTCCCGTCAACATCCGCTGGAAGGTGTGAGCCCTGAGCTGGCCAAACCCCTTCCTCCCCAGGCCTGTTCCTCATCAGCTTTGGCAGTCCTGGGACATCATTCCTGCCAGGGCTGTGCCCACGCCCTCCTGGCACAGGGTGTTCACACCCTTGAGAGCCAGTACATCCATTCCTGCGACCTCTGTCCCTTCTGTAGAGAACTGGATCCATCCATCTTCCCTTCCTCCCTTCCTTTCTTCCATCTGAAGATAGACGCCCAAAGCTGGGGTTTCCCTGGTAGAGCAGTGGTTAAGAATCCAGCTGCCAATGCAGGGGACATGGGCTTGAGCCCTGGTCCAGGAAGATCCCACATGCCGCGGAGCAACTATGCCCTTGCGCCACAACTACTGAGCCTGCGCTCTAGAGCCTGCGAGCCACAACTACTGAGCCTGTGTGCCGCAACTACTGAAGCCCACGCACCTAGAGCCCATGCGCCACAACAAGAGAAGCCCCCACAGTGAGAAGCCCGTGCACTGCAACGAAGAGCAGCCCCTGCTCACCGCAACTAGAGAATGCCCGCATGCAGCAATGGAGACCCAAAAAAAGAAAAAAAAAAGAAGCCCAAAACTGTACTGACTATACACCCCGAGATGGGGATCCCACAGTGATCAAAACAAATGTGGTCCCTGCCTTTGCAGCATGGAGGGAGAGAATAAACCTATGATCACACAGATACACCCAATAATCGGCTGTGACGAGCATGACAGAGAAGTACAGGAGCCACGAGAACCCTGCCCTTGTCTAGGGATCCCCCTGGACCAGGTGATGTTTACACCGAGCCCTGAAGGATAAGCAGAACTTAAAGAAGCAGAAAGGATGTGTGTGGGAAGAAGGGTCCATTATAGACAGACAGAACAGCAAGTGCAAAGGCCCTGAGGCAGGCGGGAATTTGGTGCTCTAAGGCCTAGAGGCCAGCATGTCTGGAGTGTAGAGTGAGGCTGGCGGGAGCGGGGGTGGGGGGGGGACGGGCAGCCACACTCCCAAACTAGCTGCCATCCAGGCAAGTGCGCACATTATCATTGTGCAGCTACTTGAACTGCCACAAACTGAGCACTCACACGTACCCAGCACCCAGATCAAGAGACATGTGCAGGTCCCTCCATCACATCCTTTCCAGTCGGTCCTCCCCAAAGGGCACCGTTGGCCTGACTTCTGCACACAGATGAACGCAGGATCATAGAGAATCTGTCCTTGCGTGTGAAGTGGGATCTCACTGTGGTTTGCATTTGCAACTCCCGGATGACCTGTGATGTCAACACTCTTTTTATCTTTCCTGGCGATGTGGAGATTTGGGTGGCCTCTTGTTTAAAATACCCCTTCATGGGAATTCCCTGGTGGTCTAGCGGTTAGGACCCCGCACTTTCATTGCCGTGGCCTGGGTTCAATCCCTAGTCGGGGAACTGAGATCCCACAAGGCTTGTGGCATGGCTAAAAAAATAAAAATAAATAAAATGCCCCTTCAGGTCTTTTTCTCATTCCCCTCCCTGCCTTTCCCCTCTCTTTCTTGCCCAAAGGCTATACCGGTATTCTCTGGTGGAAGAACAATCCAGAAGGAGATGAAGGCTCCCTCCTCCCCACAACCCACCCCTCTTGGGCCCTGCTCTGTGTGTGACAGGCCCGGAGACCAGGGAGAGGCACAGCGCTGCACATGCACACACATGTCCCCTGTTGGAGCCCCCGCCCTTCCTGCAGCCCCCCAGTAAGCCTGGGACGGACCAGATGCGGTACATGGCCTTCGTGTCACAGAGACACGGTACGCCTGGCCCAAGTCGCCAGCAATGGCCACCCTGTACTGGCTCCGAGCAGGCCCAGCTCCAATGTGTCTGTTGGCTCACCTGTCCCCTCCCTACAGCTCTGCGATGTAGATGAGTGAGTTTGCCGAGGCTGCCAACACACAACCTGCTCAGCTGTGTCCCCAGAGCGGAGATTTCAGAGCTGGACACAGAACTTTCCACCCACTTCTGCAGTCCCCTGCCTACGTGTTTGGGAACCAGGATGACCCAGCCTGGGCCCTGCCCTCCAGGGTCCCCCCACCCACAGAGAGGGAGCAACTAGGGGTAGACAGGAGGCCCCTGAGCCAGGGCCTTTGAGGGACCTGGAGTCCTTCTGACTCAGGGAGGGATGAGGGACCAGGCCCTCATCCTCGTCAGATGCACGTCAGCAGGGCTGCGTTTGGCCAGACCTGGACCACCAGGACGGTGTGTGCTTCCTGCCAGAAGGAGTAGGTCTTGCACGGCTTCTGGGCTGTCTCAGCAGGTCGGCTTTAGAGCCATCTTGGCCGAGGGGAGCGGGGTCCTGTACCCATCCTGGACAGACCAGCCTGGTACTCCCGGCAGAAAACTTAGCATCCTCCTCGCCATCCTGGCAGCACACAAAATGCGAAGCCCCAGCCCTCCAGGCCTGGGCTCTGGCTTGCCCCATGTGCTGTGTGATGCTGGGTGAGACTCTGCCCATCTCTGGGCCTTGGTTTCCCCTTTGGTAAGTAGTCCGGTGATGGTCACCTTCCAGGCTGTCTGTGACAAGCCCCTGAAAGGTCAGGAAGGCCCACTCAGATGGCACGATCCACACTCGGTCCTGCCGCCCCTGGTGGGCTCAGGGGTGCCGAGTCCCTTTCCGAGGACATCCAGGGGTGAGGCATAGAACTGAGTCCTACTTAACACAGAGCCTGAAAGTGGATCAGAAAAGGAAGGACCAGGGTCCCCAAAAGACGGGACGCTGAGCTGACCGTTCTGTGGGGCCTCGCGGTGGGAAGAGGGTGCTATGTTCTTTCCTGGGGTCCCCAGCTGCTCTGGGGCTCCCTTCGCTCTGGCTTAGCTAAGAGGGCACAGAATGCAGCCCCCTGGCCCTGTGCACAGTGGGTTTATCGCTGAGTCCTACCTGGGTCTGGACCAACCCCCCAGCCTGGCCACTACGTGTTCTGGGTCATAGGTGTGGGCACACGTGTCCTCAGGTGCACCTGTGTGCCCCCAGTGCTAGGGGTCTCAGCAGCCCGGATGACTCAGACAGGCCAAATTACTCACTGGGGACCTGGGAAGTGGAGGGAACAGGGTTCAGGACTGTGTCCCAGTGGACAGTGCAGGCCAAGGGGAGGGGCTGGTCCCCTGTCTCCCCAGCAGCTGGCACCGGGCTGGGCGTAGGGGAGACATCAGGAAGCTCAGGCCACCGGGCCGGCTCAGGTTCCTGGCCAGCCCAGCCGGCGGCTGAGATTTCTGGCCGAGGAGGGCCTGGTTACACGGCTGCGCGGCCCAGCCGATTGGGTTTCCACTTGGATGGGCCCCAGGCCCCAGGCTGGAGGAGCCAGCGCTAGCTGAGGAGGGCCCCACGGGGGGCCCCAGGTGCGCCCCACGGCCAAGCAGGGAGCCCGCTCTGCGCTGCCCACTGACCACCCTGAGCCTCGGTTTGCCCACCTGAGAACAGCAGCCCCCTGGAGGCTCAGGGACTCAGGGGGCCCCCTCGAGACTGGCTGTGGGCCTTTGCGCTGCTCCAGCCTAGACTCCTGGGTTCCGGTAATCAGTAATTGATTCTCGCTCTCACTGATCTCAGCTGGCTCCTCTGAGAAATGGGGAGATTCCTGCTTGGCCGGCAGGGGCGCGGTGAGCTTTCTGTGTGCACAGGTGGGTCTGGCTCTGCTTCCGCGGGCCCTTGGGGACTCTGCCTTCCCTGTCCTGTCGTGGATGCCGCTGCGGATGCCGGCTTCGCCCTGAGGTAGGTGAGCCTGAGGCTCCTGAGTCACCTCGGCCCCACCCACCCGCCTGCACTTTCCCAACACCTCCCTTCCCCCTTCCTGTTCCCCTTTCACTTCCTCCGGCCCCTCCAGCTGGGGAGCTGTACCTCCGCTCCCCCAGCTCCCCCAGCTCCTAGGGCATTTCGGAGCCCCTGGCCCAGCCAGGAAGGGAGGCGGAACAAGGCCACCCAGCCAGGAAGGGGCTGAGCCCCCACCAGTGGCCCCAGGCGCCTGGGATGGGAGAGCCCACGTCACTGACTGCTTCTGGTCCCCCTGGGGCCAGACGCCCCCCTGCCCCTTTTCACAGCCCGGGGACAGAGGCCTGAAGCGCAGGGTCCCCGTGGCCTCCTGTCTGTGCCATTCCTGTGGACATGTTTGCCAACACTCTGGGGCGTCAGGCCCAGGAGCTCCAGAACCCTGCTTGGCCTGAACTTGAAATTGCTGCTGACCCCACCCCACGTGGTCCAACCTGTCCCCCAGCTTCTCAGGCCTCTGTCTGGGGAACCAGAGGAACCTGGCATCTGAGGGATGTCTTGGTTGCCAGATGACTCGGAGCAGGTCACCACCCACTCCCGGTGGGCTGAGGTGGGCCCAGGTGAGAAGTGGACCTCAAAGGCCTGGGACCACAACTGGGGCGGGGGGGCATGAGGCCAGATGCCCCCAGTCTGTCTGGACGGCTGTCACCCCAAGGGGCCTCTGCCTCTCAGCACTCAGGGTCTGCCTGGGTCACCTCGGTTCTCATCTGGAGAACGAGACAACTAGCCCTCCCAGCAGAAGGCTCCAGGGACCAGCAGAAGGGGCTCAGCTGGGTGTGTGTACTGGGGGAAGCCCAGGGAAACTTACGTCTATTTCTGAAAAATTCAATCAAATAAGCAAGGCTGGGAACTCCCCAGGAGGGTGGCGTTTCTCTGGGTGCCCTGGGGGACAGGAAGAGAGAGGGTAGTTTTTAAGGATTTTTAAAAACACTCCCAAGAAGTGTTGGAAGTTCCCAGTTTCTCCGAGGCAGGGATCCCCCTCGGGCGGATAGCTCTGTCAGGGAGGACAGGAGGCCCAGAGCAGGCTGAGGGGCTGGAGGCTGCCCAGTGACAGCCCTGGGAGAAACTCTGGCTAGAGGCCAGGCCAGGATGGGGACCAAGGCCCTGGCTGACGCCCAGGAGAGCACACAGGGCCCAGCCCATCCTTCCCTCCGGGGCCCCCTTCAGCTGGCTGGGCACCTCCTCAGAGGGCCTTCCCTGACTCCCTCCTTCCCGAGAAAATCCGCTGCTTTCCTTCTTGGGCATCAGCACTTGTTCTCTTTGGCTCTCTTGTTTGAGGTCTGTCTCAGGGATCACACCTGCTTTATTCAGTGTGTTGTCTGGTGCTTTTCTTCTCTGGAAGCACGTCTGGCTGGTCGGTGCTGGTGTGCGGAATGCAGGAGCAGTGTGATCCAGGATGTTGAGCTCTTGCTGTGTAATCCTGACTGGGTCAGTTCCCCTCTCTGGGCAGGAAAGCTTACTGCTGTTATGGTAGAGGAGGGAGGAAGTCGTAGCTGACTTCCTGGAGGCGGCAGCCCAGAGCTGGCCCTGGAGGCAGAGGCACCCCAAGCCCAGTCCCTCCCAGGACCTTAGGAATCCAGAAGTCCAGAATTGCCTCTTGAGACCATCCTGGGAGCAGGGGACGAGGGCAGGGGAAAGAGGTGGTGACAGCATGCAGGCCTGGGGCTCAGGACCCCCTGTTGTGTAACCAAGGGCCAGTGGCTGTCTTCTCTGGGCCTCAGGAGATAAGCACTGAGGACAGAGGTGGGACCCAAGAATTTAGACTTTGGAACAGCCTTTGGTCCCAGTCCCTGAGGACACTGCAGGGGACACTGCAGAGGCAGTGAGAGGCCTCCAGGCCCTACACCTGGAATCCCTCACACCGGACTCCAAGCCCTTTTCCAGTCTGGCCTCAGTTTCCTCATCTGTAGCAAGAGGTGCATTTGCTAGAATGCTGCCCATCAGTTGCTCCTCACTGAGGACCCACAGTGCGCAGGGGCTCTGCCCTCCTGGAGCCAACAGTCTAAGGTCTTCCTAAGGTCTCCCCTTCTCTGTCCTGCCTCAGTTTCTTCCTCTGAAAAATGGAGCTTGGTTTCCCCGCGGGTCAGGGCAGCAGTGGGGCCCGAACACCCAGAGCAAGTTGGCCGGGTGGCCAGTTCTGGAGGAAGGCGGGGAGTGGTCCTTTGCTATGGGCTGTAAAGGTCGCCTGGCCTGGAGGCCTCTCAGGGAGGGGAACCGCAAGAGGAAAAAAAAAAAGCACCAGAAAGGCAAGTGAAGTCCCCATTGGCTGAGCCGGCTAAGGGCCCCGGGGGCTGTGTGCCTGCCCGGGTGACAGCTCTGAAAACTCCCTGCAAGGGCAAAGAACCTGTTCACTTCCTCTCCGGAGGTCTCCTCCCTCTTCCTCTGGCCCCTCCACTTCCTCTTTTCCTCCTCTGGCTGCTGTCTCTCTTCAGCTCCTTCTCTCCCGCTAGGCCTGCGGCCCCCACCCCCCACCCCTCCACCTTCCCAGGGTCCTTTCTCAGGGCCTAGGACACCCAAGCGGTCACTTATTCATTCAACAGATCAGAGCCCTGGGGAGGGTATGGTGGGTGGAGGTGGACGGGCCAGAGACCCGAAAGGGCTCACAGTCTGGTCGGGGAGGCCCAGTTATAAATGCCGGCCGGCCCTGTGCAGTGGTCTTTGCGGGGAGGGGGGATATGCTGCAGATGCCAAAGGACTCCCTCAAGTAGGGGCCTTCTGGGTTGGGCCTTGAAGGATGCATAGGAGACTCCCAGCTGCCGCAGACAGAGGGCTGGGAGTAGTGCAGCCTGAGCTCAGTGCTTCTGCCCCTTGGCCGGCCCCTGGTTGAGAAGTGGCGAGGTGGCAGCACAGGTCCTGCTTGGGGACCAGCCTTGCTCTCCATCCCATGTAGCTGCCTGGAGCCACCAGAGTCTCCCACGCCTTGGCCTGCAGCCCTGGTCCCAGTCTGTCCGGCACCCACCAGGCTCAGTGAACAGCCCGGAGCAGCCCTCATCAGCCGGCAGCAAAGAGGGTCACCCCCCACCCCCCAACCCCCCACTACAGCTCCTGAATCACAGGGTTGGCAGGTCCCAGGGTGGCTGGCTGGACGCCTGTGAATGAGACACACAAGGCCAGGGACAGGGCAGTCCGGCCCCTGGGAAGCAGGGAGTGGACGGGCTGGGAACATTTGCCCAGGCCCGGGGTGGGGCTGGGGGAGCCACCGAGAGCAGATCCCTGGGAATTCCGCTGGCAGGTGGCTCTGAGCCCGTGGGCTCTGCTGTGCGCTGGGAGACGGTGACCCTTTCTACCTGTTTGTGGCCTCTGCAACCTTCAAAGAGCCCTGCCAGCACTAGCCTCCTGCAGTGGGCTGGACCACGCTGCCTCTGCCCTGGCCAGATTCCACCTCCATATATGGACGAGTCTTTTGCTGGTTTCAACACACGCTCAGTGAGCACCTACTATGTGTAGCAAAGCCCTGGGCAGACCTGGGGTGCCTGGACGCAGACCACGGGCAACAGGCCAGGGCCCCTACCTGGACCATCCTTCCCGTTTTCCCTTGTGTGAAAATTCAGCTCGTCACCACCTCTGAGAGGATGCGTGCTCCTCCAGGTTGGGCCAGATTCCCCTCTGGGGGTTCCATGGCCTCTGGGTTTCCTTTTACCACACAGTGACTACTGTCGGCCACCCTCTGGGTGGCAGGCTCTCCCTGCCGGCCTGACACTTCTCAGAGCAGGGAACCACCCAGAACACTGTGGGGCACCCAGGTCTGCCCCAGGGTTTGGTGGAGAGACCCAGGGCAGGAGCAGGTGCAGTGGGAGGGTCTCCTCTGAGGGCAGCTGGCCTTCAGCTACTGTCACTGCCCCTCCACCCCTCACCCTCACTCCTCTCTGGCACATTGTGTGTCCTTCCCCAGTCCTTGGTGGCCTCCAGATGGTCCAGGAGGGCAGTTCAGCTGTGGGCTGCACATGACAGACAGACGATGGACGGTGGGCCCCGGGCCCCAGAGCTGTGACAAATGGCCCTGCCTGCCTGCGCCCAGCAGTGGTTGGCAGCTGCCCGGGTCGCCGGCTAACAGCCCAGGCTTGGCCTTGGCTGGGTGTGACCAGGCAGCTCCGAGGCAGCCCAGCTCCATGGGAACAGCTTCTCTGCTCTACAGAGCCCACCACTCCCCAGGTCTGCAGCAGGGGAAGTTTGGAGCCCTTCTCACAGGGAACTTCTAGCCCCTGGCCCCTGAGTGGGGGGGGGGGGGGGGCTGCCCTGTCCCTGGGGACTGTGGTCTTGAAGCCCCTGTTAAATGGCCACCAGCCCCCCTGACTCCCCTATGAAACACCATAGTCCTCAGCCCCAGGTCTCTTGAGTAGTAATGTGCCCCCATAGCAAACGGAGACCCCCACTCAGCAAGCTCAGCACCCCCAGTCAGAGGCCCCCTGTAACCCAGGCTTTCTGGGCAGTGGAGCTAATGTGGACAAGGGGGGTGACTCGCTGCCCACCCCTTTCTCCCCAACTGTTCCTTAAGTATGCGCCCACAGCAACCAGGCACCCTCGCATCTGTGCTGACCCTTGCCCACCGGGTCGCTCACTGCTCTGGGGCATCCACACCCGGAGGGTCCCGGGGTGGGGGGACCCGGAGAGACAGGCAGGCCGGGTGTAGGCCTGGCCACGC